TTCCTCCGCACAACATGAACATTATATATATATATATATATATATATATATATTCACTGACTTGAGGACACGTATGGTGCGAACGCAACAACAGTGATAAATGTAGCATCAGAGCGAACCTTTGCCTTCTTCACCACTTATTTTCTACGGACACGGCCAACCAGCTTTTCACCCCCTGTAGCTTAGATACGCTTCGTCGTCACAGTAAAAAGCTGTTTGAGCCTCGGCCCCGTACCCGAGTTCGTCAATGGTTCCATACCCATAGTTATCCTTTATGAAACAGCCTCCCGCATGAGGCTGTCTACTACAATTCAAAGAGCATGATCAAACACATGCTCGATATCTTTCTTGGTCTTAAACACACTACCACCAAATTCCTCTAGTTGCTCCCTCTCAATCTGTTTATCTACCTCTCTATCCATCGCGCTCTCCTTTTTACATACTTTTATCTCAACTGTAATGGGTTATAATTTTTGTTGTTTTTGCGCGTACAAAAACAAATCAAAAATGAAAACGCTGAAAATTTCCTTCGTATCTCTGAGCGCATTACGCACAAGCAAGTAGAAATGCATTTACTATCCAGTTGCGCATACTTGTGGACTGCAAGTAGATACTGCACCCCTCTTTCCTTTTAGGTTCTTCCTTGTAATTATCTGAATATCTATCTGTCATCTTCACTAGCGAGCCGTACTCTCACCATCTCGTCAGCGGATATCAATTGAAAACTGAGTTTTCCAAGCTCCGGGACCATTGGGCCTAATCTCTCACTCGCGAAATACTTCCGTACCTTGAAGACCTCATACAAGCGACTTCCGGTGAAGCAGTCACCTTATTCCAAGGGCAGAAACCGAGATCCATCTGACATCCAGTCGTCAAGCACACACCAAAGCCGCATGATCCCTCCGGAAATGACAAACACATCAACCCGTGTCTATCGTGTGGAGCCTACTACTTGCGCTCCACTTGTCGATCCCGCAATGCAAAGTGCCCTGCGTATGGGAAACTAGCCCACATCCCGAGAGTGCGCAAATAGCCCCGCCGTAATCTAGCATAGCCATCAGCCGAGCAAGAAACAAGCCCTGTATTTTCATTGCGAACTCGGAGTCAATGTTCCCATTTCATATACAAAGATGTGGTATTACAGCAGCACAAATTTATTGTGGACACAGGATGTATGGAATTTATCATTCCTACTGAAGTATTAAGATCGACTTTTCCCGAAGCCAAAATCGGTCCGTCTGTGAAAATCCTCCGTGTTATGGGACACAAATTGCCGTTGATGGGTGAGGTTTAGCTGATGATGCAATCTGCAGAAACTGCTTTGTTCCCACTTGCCTCCTGATCGCCAAAAGCAGTCCATCCATAGTAGGTTTAGCTACCATTCGTGTGTTGAACCAATCCGTGTCACTTCATACCAGCACCGCGTTGAACGTTTACACGCATCTGCAGCGTTCAATCGTGAAGTGTTCCAACAATGCTGGAAGTAGGCATGTTCAGCCTGCTAAATCCGAAGTTGACGGTGAGCCGATCTACATGAAGCGACGCATAATCCCATATGGGCAACGCGAAGATGTATTGAAAGTCATCGAGAAAATGGAGTGATTGTATCATCACTCATGTCACTTCAAACGCGGGGGCAGCACCAATTGTGGTACCAATCAAAAGCGACGATAAAACGCTATGAATTTACGGTGACTATCGACTGACCATCATCATCATCGTACAGCGAGATACAGTGAATCGAATATCACTGATCGCTGCCAAGCTCACAAAGTACACAAATCAAGTGATAAAGCACAAGATAGAGAGGAATGGAGCTTAATTGGGGGGAGGCAAAGAAAAAGAACTTCTATGGTCAACACACAGAGTACACACTCTAAGTGTGCATACATTCCTTTTCAAGCATTCTGACCTGATAAGAAACGACAAGAACGCCACTGCTGTAGGTTAGTCGCCATATCCTTCAGTGTTTCCAACCAGTCAGCTGCAGTCTTTTGGATNCCTGGAAGACGGGAGACACCGATTCTACCTAATTGCTCTGTGCATTTCTTCATGTCTCGTTTTTGCATCATCCGTTGATTTCCACGTGGTTTCTTCCAACCTGGAGCCGCAATTGCGAATAAGGCACGATGCGGTAGACGACAACTGGGCATGTGCAATGTGTCCTAACCAGCGAAGCCGACTAATCTGAATTCGATGGGACAACAAATTCTCCATAGAATCATTACCAAATACGCGACGACTTACCTCAAAGTTGCTTACAAGTTTGTTCTATCCAACCCGCGCCAAACTACGTAAACATCTGCAGTCGAATACTTCAAGACGACGAATATCTTCCACGCAACCATAGAGCAGAACTGACTGCACATTGGTGCAGTATGCGCGACCTTTCATTTTCAACGAAACATCGCGTCTGCACCAAAGGTGTTTCAGTCATGCGTAAGCTGCTCGAGTCTTGGAAATGCGGGCGGTTCATTTATTGACTATGCTACCGTCATTTGAAACGCAGCTACTTACGTAGGGGAAACCTTCCACTACAGCTAATTCTTGACCATCAAGCATCAGCCCTGGGGTAGACAACACCCAGTCTTGTAGCCTCACTTTGCACTTTGAAGGTACAAAGCGCACACCAAAAGGAGATACAGAACTTGCTAGTCTGTCAAGAACATTGGCTAACCCTGAACCCTCGGTTGAGAAAGTGCCGCCACCACCCTGAAAACGGAAGATTTCATGAAAGCACTGCATGGCAGAACATGCTTTTCAAAAACCGAATTGGCAGACGCATATCTCCAAATTACTCTCGTTCCAGCATACCGGCAATTCACTACCCTCAACACACTGTGGGGACAGTATCTATACTGTTTCTTGCTGTTCAATCTACATAAGCCATCAGGCATGTTCGAGACAGCCATCAATGAGGTCATTCGTGGACTTGATGTGTTGGCATATCATGACGGCGTTATTGTGTTTGGTATAACGAAGGCTGAACACGACGACCGACTCCCCAAATTACTGGAGCGTTTTGCTCAAAAGAATGTGTCGATTCGGGCCTCTAAATGCACACTCAGCTCTCTGAAATTGGAATTTTTGGATATCATTGTTGATGTGAAAGGTTCTTGTCCTGACCCTGGTTTCTCTCGTCCCTCAACTGAACTTGAATCACCGAAAGATCAGCGCCAACTGAGGTCTATCATGGGATACTACTCACGTTTCATCCCGAACTTTGCCACGAGGGCTCAACCGCTGTTTGCAGCAGAATGGAAGTGGACCGCTAAGTATGAACAAATTCTAGGCGAACTCATCTAGATAGTAACGGAACGGCCAGTACTTGCCGCGTTTTCTCCCGCGAAATTTGATTACGGACGCGTTAGGTATTGGCATTAGTGTCGCACCTGAACCGAACGGATGTCGGATTGTCTGCATCTCTGCATCTCTCGTATTTTGAACACGCAGAACGGGGATATTCGCAGGCGCAAGAAACGTTGGCCGTGTATTGGGCTGTTCGACATGCACAAATACCCGTTTGGACTGTAGTTCACCATTGTGACCAAACACCAAGCGCTGCTATACCCATTCAGTCCATACAACTCGATGTCCAAACTGACAGCGGCGATGGAACACTGAATTGGCTGTCTATGACCACGACAGTAGTGCGTGTTTCGGAGACACAACACACGTATGAACTGAGTTTTAAGAATTCCAGCTAGGGCGGTTTGTGAAAACATCCGTGTGTGGACATTGAGTGCCGTTAAGGGTTAGAGATTTTAGTTTCATCAACTCAATGTTTTAATATTGGCTAAACTTACTAGTTAAACTAAGCGAAATGGTCTAAGGGACAAAAACCGGTGGTAAGATTTTGGAGTAAGAGGAAGAACTAGTAAATGAGACGTCTTTCCAAATGAGCGCGAGTTTTCAGCATAGCGTAAACGCTCAAAAGTAACAGCCAAGTCAAAGGCAAGAAACTCCCAATCAAACGTAGCGCAGAGAAATTCGACTGGTTATGACCTTTTCAAGGATAAGAGGTCAGAAACGAGTTCGCACAGTGTAAACACGACCACTCCACTGCATCTGTACACAGGCCTACTGTAGTAAAGATGATTTTTATAGTTAGTGAAATAACCGTTAAGCGAAGACAAGACTGTTAATTACAATAACGCAACGGTATAAAAACGAAAGACAGTAGAGGTCAAACACCAATGCAACTAGTGTGACCAACTAATCACGTTGTTTGCACAGATCGGGTTTGAGAGTATAAATGGCCAATTTCAGTAACTCCGGTGTTTTGTAAATGAACTGAAACGCGTGAATTAGAGTGTCATCGTTTCTGTTCGCATAGGTATTTTATAACTGAAGATCTAAATCTTGTCCGCCCATTCATTGACGCAACGGTTACAAACTTGTCATCTCATAGCATTATTAAGCCATACATGGATGTGTTCGGACACAGCGACTTAACTACCTCTCTGTCTTGCCTCATTATCAGAAATTGCATGAAGTAACAAAATAAAAATATAACTTACCATCATAGTGTTGCAATAAGCGGTTCATTCGAAGATCCCACAACTTGACCGCGGCATTGGTGCCGCCAGAAGCGAAGCAATTCCCGCTGGGATGGAAATCCAGATGAGAAGCAAACCCATCAGTCTCGTGGAAAGTGTGCACGCAAACTTGATTTTCACAGTCCCAGAGCTTTATTGTTTTATCATCTGAGGAAGACACGATAAGACGACCATCAGGTGAAAACCTAAGGAAATCATTATCGGATTCGCAGCACTCACCGACAACACCGAACCCAGTTAACATGTTGATTAAGGGAAAAGAGGAATCTTTGCCTGTGTAAGTTCCATACCTAGAAAATTAAAGCAGGGAACCACAGCGTACCTTTACAGACTTATCGGCAGAGGCTGTGCACATTCGCAGATCATCTGACGACAGGTCCACCCAACGTATGGCGGCGGTATGAGCCCTGAAAGTAATTGATTCACCTTTACTAGGAAACATAAAAATGTGACTGCATCTTACATGCTTGGAACCCATAGTTTCACGGTCTTGTCCCTGGAGGCGGTTACAATTAGTTCTCCGCTAGGTGAGAATCGGACGCAGAAAATGGCATCAGTGTGGCCCAAAAAGCGATATGCCCGCGTCTGGGGCTTTATGTTCCATACCATGAGGCAGTGGTCCATCGATGAGGAAACTATATGTGAGACAAAGGTAATAATAGTTACCCAATTGTTTCCCATTGGGATTGAAGTCCACACACGTGATTGCACCACGATGACCCTTGAAATGAATTTGCAGACTGGGATCCTCCTACACATTAAGATCATAGGTTCACGAAATACCAATTTAGACGCTCACCATTAGGAAAAACCAACAACGACGAAACCTAAACAAACACAATCAAATACGCAACTGACGGCAAATTAACAGCACAACGACACGGTAAAACACAGGACAGGACAGTTCCAGGACTTGCGGCTTGAGCCAGTAAGGTAGTCCAGGTTCTTGCGTTTACGGGCCACGGGTGTCTCGTAACGCTATGACAGTGGGTTGATCGGTCCATGGTGGTGTAATGGTACTGCCGCGGAGCAGGGACTCCAATCCGGTTTGCTGTTGATGAAAGCAGCACCAACCGATCAGTCACAGGCTAACCAGGAGGTCAGAGTACCCCTCCAGCAAACCGTATAGAACCCTCAGGCATGCGAAAATAGGTTAAGGTGAGAAAAGAAGAGTATGCTGGTACGGGGAGGAGGGTGTGGAGAGCTGGATTAAGACAGGTGAGGAGAAAGTAGTCGAAGTGTAAGGGGTGGTATAGTTAGTAAAAAAAGAATATGGGAGGGGACCTATTCTAGGGTTAATTGAAGATATAATTACCACCAAGGACTGTCGATCTTTTTTTCCTTAGGCTGATTCGGGTAAGACTTCGTCCCACACCCCATCAAGCCTTTTTTGAAGAGTTCCAACGTGGATACCGAGACAACCTCATCAGGAAATCTGTTCCAGGCGTTGACGACTCTATGAGAGAAGTAGTTCGCTCTTCCTCTCTTTAACGCCCGACGTTTGGCCAGTTTCAGCTGGTGTCCTCTTAAGGTTGGGTTTTCACTGAGGGAGAAAGGTTGCCTGCTAGGCTGTGAGAGTCCTTTCAGTATCTTGAAAACCTCTATTAGGTCACCTCTCTTTCGCCTGTGAGAAAGGGAGAACACGTTTAGCTCTGTCAGGCGCCTCGTGTACGGCAACGTCCTCAAGGCAGGAAAGAGCCTTGTGAAGCGTCTCTGTACTTGTTCTAGAACCTTTTGGTCACGTACAAGTTTCGGCGCCCATGTCTGCACGCAATACTCGAGGTAGGGTCTCACCAGGGTCAGGTAAGGTCGGATCAGGTTAGGTCCGATATACAGGACTAGCGACTGATGCCAATGCTTCCAGTTCCTTAAACTTGTGCGCTCTGGGGCGATCCCACTGTGCTTCGACTGCAGGAGAAGTCTTAGATACATCACTTCGGGTTCCTCGATGACGCGCAGACATGCAAATAAGATGTTCGAACGGTCAATCAGCAACATCAGTAGGCTCCAGTCAAAAAACGGTCATCGCCTGAACCGGTTTCTATGCGAGATATTCAAGCCAGACACGCTCTACAGGCGGTAAATGTAAAGTGTAAAGAAGGAATAGGAGAACGTTTACCGGTTCTTCAACCGACAGTTGCGCAACGGCAGTTTTCTTTTCTTGCCTCTTGTTGTTCTC